AAGAGACTATCCATTATTTGCATGGGAAGGATAAGGCCCACCCTATCAGCACACTAGATCTTTTCCCACAAGATATAGGGCAGTCAGTCTGCGCATGGGCAGAGATTTTCATTTTTACAACCGGGAATGTTTTTTGGCAATATTTCACGAGTGATTTATTGAAATCAAGCTAAAATATATAGTACAGAGAAGCTGCAAGCTGTGGCTGCCTGATGGCTCTAAGGACTCAGAGTGCCTTCCTGAAAGCTAGTTAAGCGGTGAACTCTACGAGATGCTGGTAGCCCAAATAGAAATGACTGTATTTTGCTCCTACATGTAACGCACAAGACAGCACACTCTCTAATGAGGTACTTGGTGCTGTAATAGAGAAAAACAAAGACTGAGGTTTGGATTTATTATTTCAAGTTGTGTGTGATTTTTTGCAAGGGATACCATAAATGAAGCAGTTTCTTTCAGCCAGTGCAAAAATCTGGATGGGGAAACTCTGATACTACACTGAGCTATATTGGGGAAGATTTTCATCTCACAATTTAGTCAGTACAGTTTTTGTCACCACCATTAACGCCATTACTATACCATGTGTCACGCTGTCTGCACTGATGCTCTTTTAAGGCAAATCCTTCTCTCTGCCCAGCCAGCTGCCAGGCCGGCAGCGCAGGCGGCCGCTTCCCTCTGCTGCCGTTACTACAGCAAGCCTTGTCCCGTCGTGCGGAAACCAAGAACATCTTCCCCTTAAAGCAAGAAATTCATTCTTGTATTCATACCACATTTCCCTTATTAAGAAAAAATATGATTCATAAAATAGTACCCTATGGCAATATGCAGACTTTAATATTAATGTCATTTTATTAAAAAAAAAATAAAATCCTCTAAAACAGAAAAGATGAAACTCAAGCACAAATAAATACGAAACTCAAGCACAAATAAATACGAAACTCAAGCACGAAAAAGCGTCTGCCTGGAAGCTACATCTGTGCTCCTTGTCTCCCATCTTTTGACATCCCGTGAACATCTCCAGAAAGTTATAGAACATTTTCTCTTGAGCAAAAAGCCCCTCGTGGATATGGATGTGTTCAGTGGTCTTTGAGAAATGTCTAGAGGTCTTTTAATTTCTCACTCACGCGGCTCCGAGCTGGCTGTATTCCACAACCAGGTTTTACACAATAATTACACAGTCACTCAAATAATTGTTACTCAGTCCTTTCGCCTCAGAAAACAGCCCTTCCGCGAGATTCGGCCCGTTCTGCCGACTGATAAGAAAATGTGCATTCAAATTGGTCCTGCTTGTAAAAACTATGGCTGACAACACTGTGCAATTCGAGAACCGTAAGCCGAGGTTATTTCTAGGTTCTTTTGAACCGGCATGAAACACGCTTCTGTGCCGAGATGTCCAACCCTGTGTTTTTCAGCTTCCGTTTCATTCTTGGCAATCTTATCTCTGGAAGGCAGTGTAACTGCAGCAGTTGCACATCTCGTTTCAGAAAACTAAAGAAACATTCATTTTCCGTTTTAATGGCTTACTGGAAACTAGTTGACAGGGAATGAAGAGAGTGACGATGAACGAAAATGAAAACCAGCAAGACCCAGTTACTCACCCGTGCCAGGCTGGTTCCAGAAGGGACTTTGTAGGGGACGTACTTCCTGTAGATATGCCCAACGCGAGAGCACGGAACATCAAACATGCCACCTCCACACATCCACACCTGGAAAGGAGATAGAAAGCAAGTGAAGGAATGGTTCCTGGAAACAAATGAGGCAAAAAAGGCATTTTAAGTAGTAACGGGTATGTGAAAAGGACACCTCGCTCCGCACTGACCCCTCCCACAGCGGTGGCTGCCTTGGCATGCTGATAGCTGGGGCGAGGGAACAGGGCAGGCTCTCCTACCTGGAATCTCACTGTGAGAAGCAGAGTACGTTCAAAATACAATCATAAAACTTATTTAGAACATCTACCAACTGTCCATCCTGCAACGCAACCAAGATATTCTTGTGTCTGTTGTTTAAAACAGACAGCATCAAAATTTCAAAAGGCAGCTGTGTGAGTAAAACAAGCCATCAATCAGAAGGAATTATTTTTTTTTTTTCCTCCAAAACACCTGGCTTATATTTTGAATAATGAATAGAGAGCTCAAATATTAAGATGCTCTTCATTTTGTAAGGATGCTCTTCATTTTGTAAAGAAAAAGCAACAAAAATTAATTTCCTTCTGATCACAGTTATGTAGGCAGAGGAAGAAAAGCATGCCGCTACGTTTCGCCATTAATACTTTAATACTGAAACAGATGGGACCATCTGGAGCACACAGGTTTGATGCTGCAGGCTCTAAAAATCAAGCTGTATCTCGATGGGCAGCAAGTAAGGAATTCTTCGCAGTTCTTCACCTAGCACGCCTAGGTTTTACCACGCGTACATGACAGCAAGGCTGTGTGCCATGTCAGAGGAACTGTAGCAATCACGCCAACCTATGGGCACGATTTCCTATGCTCTGGCAACGCAGAGCCACCGCGCTTCAACATGGCTATTAGATGACTTATGCAGCACCCTGACAACGCTCATAACTTTCTGATCTCAAAAAAAGCAATTTGACTTTGCAAATTAAGGAAATGGAAAACAACACCAAAACCACCTCCCAAAAGCCCCATGCAGAACTCTTAAGTATCCTAAAACCAACCACACAGCAAGAGTTTAAAATTCATTTACAGTGAAAACACTGGTATTATAAAAATTATTTCCTGATCCCGGCTAAACAATTTTTTGTTCCCCACAAATTTAGAACAGAACGGCTGATGTTCCACGTAAGGGACACTTGTGGCCTCAGCTTTCTGCCTTTAAAGTGAAAACAAAAAACCCTCCAAACCCTTCCCACCCAGTTTAAAAAAAACAAACCACAAACCCACACCAAAGCTGAGAAAGAGAGAAGGCTTGTCCTTTCCATGTGTCTCCATGTGGACATACATAAAGATGACACATCTCCATGAACCCAGATGAGAATTTAGGTCCATGCATTACATATATGAAGGCATTTTATCTGTATTTGATGCACTCTGGAGCGAAATGGCGTGAAATAAGTTTGGGACTGAGCTAAGGCAGAGCAGAACATAGAGAACTGAAAGTTTCACCAACAATTTCCACTCAAAGGAATTAATCCAAAAGTTGATACACTCTGAATCAAAACAAAGGCAACCAGACCTTAAAAAAAAAAAAAGGGGGGGGGCATCAGGAAACATGACGTGATCGCAAATACTTGACATTCTGCATGAAGCCTGCAGAGAACCATGCCCATCTCTATGCTTTTGTACCAAACGTTTCTTATTCTGCCTCTTTTGTCCTGCCCACCAGCTAGCCGTAGCTACTGCCTTTTTGAAATCACAGGAAAACAAAATGATTAAGTCCATTCATTTAAAACAATAGTGAAAATGGGCAAGAGTTTGGCCTGTTTCGCTGTGCTTGCCCGTTTGTGTTACAGTGGGTAAATCTGCTCGGTCCTGACAGCGTTGGCTGTGAGCTCGGGACTAAATTTTAGTAATCTGAACGTGCAGGCACTAAACACGGCAGTATGGGATAACGTAGTGCTTGAGCGCGACTTCTAGCACTTGCTGAAGGTAGCATGCTGGAATTGAGCCCCTGAGTCGGTGCTGTTCATCCTGTGAACGGAGAAAACGGGGGTTAGAGTGAAGGCTTGAGTTGCAAAGTGCTTTAGGCAGCTGCTTTTTACGGGTCATTTGTGTATTAGCCCTTACAGTCCCTGAGCTGTTAGCCACGGCATCCAGCTGAGACCTGGTCATGAAATGTTTGTGGATCTACATCTCATTGCAGGACAAACCTAAGTACGCTAGCGTAAATGTTTAAGGAAGGGTTGAAACCACCGAAAGTGGGGCAAGGTCATGTGCTTCGCGTTGTCCTGAAATTCCACGGACACCCTTGCGCGGTCAGGTACAGCTGAGAGCTACTCGGGAAGCTGCTCCTTCCCACCTCTCATCTCAGAGCTAATTCAGGCGTGGGAGCTCTGAGTAGGTGCTTCTGGAGCATGCTGGCATCTCAGAAGGGGAGACAAATTTTGTGGGTTAGTGGCACAGGGTGCTAAAGGCAGCTGTCCTGGGCGTCACTCTGCCAGATGTAAGCACGTAGGTTGATGGCATCAAGAGTCTTTCAGGACCTGTTTCTGTGGTGAGGATATCCCTGTCTGGTCTCCTCGGGAGCGCAGTCCTTCTCAGGGAAGAAATTTCCTGGTGGGTTAGAGATGGAGACCCAAATGAAAGCTCTGCCTCCGTGCCAAGCTAGCTCATTACCGCCCAGAGCAGTCTTGCAATGCCACGTAGACACCGTCATTATTTTTTTTTTTTTCAAAAACATTTTGTAAAATTTGCGTCTTAAAGAAAACCTTGAAACTCTCACCCGTTTAATCCCATGTCACCTAATTCACTGCAAAACATGCTCATAAACATATTAAAAAATAATAAAAATGGTAGTGTTAAAATAAGTTGGGTAATGCCATTGTTAAAAAAACCAAAAAGTTATTCACCTTTCTACCAATACTTCGTATGGATGTTACATCACTTGTACCTTTTTTAGTGGGAACCTCCTCTCGGTGGCTGTCTTCAAACAACCCTGGGCGCCAACCAAAGCGCAGACCTATATTTACTACTTGTTCTTGTTTTTGAAACGAAGGTGTTATTTCAAAGGCTAGACAAGATCTTGCAGTGATTAATCAAGGTTTCTTAGCCTTGGAAGAG